TTATGGCCATATCACGTTAAAACACCGGTTCTCATAAGATTACCGAAATGAAGCAACGACGAGCTTGGTCACTACCTGGAATGGTGACCGCTTGGGCATATCAGGTGCTGTTAATTTGGATGTTCGGATGGTGTAGTGGGTAACGGCTTGTCATAGAAGGATCGGAGAAGCGAGTTCCAGTTCACGTCGAGTTTGTTATATTCACTTACGCGCAAATACCCATGGGAAAGGCATGAATCCACTTATTTCTCCCCAGCTATGGATTAATTAGTAGGATGAGTATCAGTAAATTATTAATATCCCCCTAAAACTCATACAGTCTAAAAAATTATTAATATCTCAAAAAAACTCTTACAGTCTTAAGCAGTTTGCAAAAGGTTGTCAAGCCTTAAAAAAAACAAATCACTCAATCACTCAATCCAGGGAAGAGTTAAATAGTCGTGTAGACTGAGCTCTCTAGCTTTGAATGGTAGCCACTCTACATGAAAATTTTGTATTCGAAACCCAGGATAAATCGAAGGGGAAATCATTTCCTTATCATTCAAAGAACTCGCCTACGCACAATAGGAGTTTGGCAATTACAGAATTATTGCTACTAGGATCCCTACTACTACCACGACTACTACGACTACTACTACTATTAATAATAATAATAATAATAGTAATAATGACGTTATCGAAAACAGTTTCGAAGAAAACTAGGGGCTGTAAATATGCGGAAGTCTTGCAACAATTCTGACAACTTCATTTTACTAGAAAGTGAATGCATAATCTCTTCTTTTTTCTTTCTTCCTTTTCTTTCTTCCTTTTCTTTCTTTCTTTCTTTCTTTCTTCGTTTTTCTTTCTGTTTTCATTTCTTTCCTCGTTTCTTTCTTTCTTTCTTTCTTTCTTTCTTCGTTCATTCTTTCTTTCTTTCTTTCGATCGTCGTTTTTCTTTTTTCTTCCGCCTTCTTTTTATTTTCTTTCTTTCTTTCTTTCTTTCTTTATTTATTTATTTATTTCCTCGTTTTTTCTTTCTTTATTTATTTATTTCCTCGTTTTTTTTCTTAATTTCTTTCTCTCTTTCTTTCTTTCTTTCTTTCTTACTTTCTTTCTCTCTTTCTTTCTTTCTTTCTTTCTTCGTTTTTCTTTATTCTTTCATTCATTCTTTCTGCCTTTCTTTCGTCGTTTTTTTCTTCACCTTTCTTTTTCTTTCTTTCTTCTTTCTTTCTTTTTCTTTCTTTAAATCCATAACATTATAATTGCTAATCAAATAATTCATCCATTCTCAATGTGAATCTAATACGATATGACTTGTCTCTCTAAGAATTAAATTATAATGCTGCTTTTTCTTCCCTTGGTAAGTTTGTTAGCTCTTGCAAACGGTGCTACCAACAATAATGTTCTTGTTTGTATTTTTTTTTCTACCCAGGTCTCCAATCATTATAGACATCACTGTAGTTTTAAGGACCCAAATTATTATTATTATTTAAAAATATTATATTATGAACTGCATTTATTTCACAATCACATGCCGGGTCATAACCAATGACATACGCCAAGCGAACGATATATTTTTTTCCATTTAATTAAACAAAAGACAGTTGTCAAAAAATTGAAATGGACAAAGCTCTTTGCAAGATAAGGGCACTGCTTGTTAGAACTATTTTTGGAATTTCCTGGAGAGATTGTGCACCAGCGATTTTGTTGATTACTTGTTGAGTTCCTTCCTTTAACAGAACTAAAGTTCGAACCACAACAGAAAATAGTTTTACTTTTTATGTCCCACATTTTTCTGTTTTCTTTTCCACGTTTTTGATTTGGCTTTGTTTTTCAAAAACCTTTGCAGTGAATTTTCTATCAATTGTTACGCTTATTAATATTATTATGATTATTATTATTATTATTGTTATTGTTGTTGTTGTTGTTGTTTTTATTTCCTTTATTTTCTGGCGTGTACACATTTCTTTCCGGGTCCCGCCCAGAGACCTAAGGTTAGAAATGGCATCATGACACTTTCCACTGAAAAAAAAAAATAATAGATTATTATTATTATTATTATTATTATTATTATTATAGTTTTATTTCTTCTGGTTTCTGGTGTATCCTCATTTCTTTCCGGATTCCGGCCAGAGACCTAAGGTCGGAAATGTCATCATGACATTTTCTACAGAGTAGATATTTTACATAGATAAAGCCCTTCGTAAGGTGTGGACTGTACTTGTGAGTACAATTTTTTGTATTTCTGTATACGCATGGGCTACCAGGAATTCCTTCAATGAGACGATTGGAATATTTTCTAATCAATATGAGGACTCCAAATACAGCTGGAATTGTTATTGTCCTCGTGTGTCACATTTTTGAGATTTTGATTTCAAGGACCTTGTAGTTTGATAATTTTTGAAGATCTTCAATGATACATTGCAGTCTGCAGGGACTGCCATGTCAATAAGGAGAGACACTTTGTCTTTGTGGTCTCTAATTACGATGTCTGGGGGATTAGCTTTCATTGTTTTTTTTCTGTGTGAATTGTAAAGTCTCATAAAATTGTTATATGTCCTATCTCTGTAACCGGGTCTGATTGATGTCCATACCATTTTCTTGCAGTTTCCTTTGCGTAAGTGTTGCAGATTTTCCAGTGCAGATATTGTCCCACTATTATTGTCATTATTATTATTATTATTATTGTTATTGTTATTATTATTTGGGTATACTATGTTTCCTGCTTTGTATCATGTAGAGTCGGGTTCAAACTATTGTCCTTAGGCCCTATAGGAGAATTGTCATTTAGCTGATAGCACTTTTCTTAGTGTATAGGATGTTCTGGGCAACTTGTATGTTGATGTTACCTGGGACACTGTTAGTAAAATTGTCCATTCCTTTCCTCATAATTCTTCGATTACTATTGGTACAGTCTCAGTCTTCATTCCTCACATCCTCTTAATCTCGATATACAGGTCCTTGTATTTGGATAATTTCTCGATAATTTTTATTGAGATATATCTCTCTGTTACTTTTATGTCAATAATCATACACTTCCTGAATTTCTCGTCTTTTATGATGATATCAGGTCTGTTGGCTTTTATTTCCGTCTCATTTTGAATTGGCATGTCCCAGAGGATAGTTACATCGTTATTTTGGATAAATGTGCCTGGTTGGTGCTTATTATATCTCTCAGTGTTTTCGATTTTGTGCTTCTTGCGTATCTTCCAGTGCACCTACTTCGCTACCTTGTTATGTCGCTAGGTATATTCATTTTTTGCCAGTTCCGGACATCCTGAAATAATATAATCGACAGTTTCATCATATTTTCTGCAGATACTACATTTCGGGTTAATTCTATTTTTTATATGACATTGATAGAATCTGGTAGCGCGGCTTTGGTCCTGAGCTTCAATAACTCTCAGCTTTCAACCTGCTGCTCCTCAGTCACTGATGTGTTTTCTATTGGTCCACATCTGCTTCTTTCGTTCTATTTAGATATTTGCCATGCAATGCCTTGTCCTCCCAGTTATTTTAAATTTCATTTGGCCAACTTGTTTTGCTTTCTGTTTTACTCGTTTTGCGTAGATGGTATTCGCTCTGTTTTTTGTTGGTAAGATTTCAGGTATTCCAGCTATTTCTTGAAGAGTGCTGCTTCGTTGTTGTTGGAGTAGATTTGGTGTTTACTTTTGGTAGGAGAGGGTCATTGGTTTTTGTGAGGCATGCTTCCAATTCGATTATTGTAGTCTTGAGAGTTAATTCAAGTTGGATTAGCCTATCAACATCTGATTTCAAGTGCTGCATCCTCATTTGGATAAGCATTTTTCTGGTCTCGCCGTCCAATCTTTTAATATCATTCAACTTCCATTTAATAATGTGGAAGATGTATGTTACTACGGTTATATAGCTAAGGTGTTGATGGCCTTCATTTTATTGACCTATCATAGATCCACCCCGAAACGTTATTATTGTATGGATGGATAACGCCAAGTTAGGATCAATATATTCCGTACGATGATATTCCTTTTTATTTCTCAATTAACGTTCAGTTAAAGGATTCTTGAATAAGGGTTAGGGTTGCTTGCCTTGTATTATATCATCGGCGGAATAGATAAAGTAAAAAAAAAAAAAAACTAAATATCAATTCAATTAGGATTTAATTGAATTTAATTTTCCCGGATCTACTAAATGACACATTCGACCGATCGTAGACCAAAGACAAACGAAACAATCAATGTTAATAAATATAATATTTTTAATAACGCGAAAATAGAAGAAATGGCAATAACATATAAACGGATAGCATGAAATATTGCGTCCAATCAAAGTTGGGAGAAAATGAGCGATAACGAATGCAGAACTCAACATATGTAATGAGATAATATTAATAATCTGATATTACGCGCGTGTGATTTAGGTCATGGTGTGGGAAGCGGATGGGTGTTATATATCGGCTTGCATTCGTCACAACCCATTTTCTTTCACTTTCTAGTACCAAACGCACTCTCCTATAATATTTTATTTGGATATTTTTGTTCATAATTGAATTTTTGTATTCCGTCTTCTTCATTAAGTATTTGTACGTATTGTCTTGGTCTAGTTCTTTAATCTTTTTTTGATATCAAGGTCGAAATCTAGATTACCGCATTTGAAGTTAGCTTTGGTACATTTGTCGTTTCCGTCGACTCCATACTAATGTCTTCGCTGAAGGTTTTGACAATGGTAAGTAGGATTTTCTGCTGGTTGTCCCCCTTGGCAAACGTTTTAAAATCATCAATATAGAATAGGGGATTCAGTTTGCTATTCTGTGACTTGTATCCCTAGCTATTGTTGCTCAATAGGCAGCTGAATGACGCTAATGCAAGGCAGAAGAGTAGTGGTGACAATGAATCTCCTTGGAAGATCCCGCTTTAAATGTTGATTGGTCTCGATGTTAATGACCCGTTTGTATGGTTTAGGTGTAGTGTAGTCTTCCAGTTTTCCTGCTCTACGTTATGTATTTGACCGTTGTGGGGCAAGCTCTGTATATTTTTAGGCTCTTCTATATGCATGAATGTGGTATATTGTCGAACAACTTTTCTGTAGTCGACCATGCTATCGATAATTTTCTTTTCCTTCTTTTTTACCTCTTCCAATAGAGTTTTATTGATAATTAGTTGGTCTTTGCACCTGTAACTTTCTCTTTTAAATCCGTTATGCTCTGCTTGAAGTAAATTGTTTTTCTCAATGAAGTTGTATGGCTTCTCGTATATGATAGAAGTGAGGATCTTGTACATTGTTAGTAGGCCGGTGATAAGCCTATAGTTGTTCGTGTTCTGCGTCTCTTCTGTTTTGAGGAGTAAGTATATTACTCCCCACGTAAACCATTTGGGGCATTTTTATGGGTTTAGGATTATATCATTTTATGCCCATACGAGGTCTTGGCAGGTGCTCGACAGTTTTTGTTTTTTTTTAAAAATCCAAAACTCGGCTATTCGGTCCATTCCTGATCCTTTCCAGTTTTTAGTTTTCCAGATGACAGCGGTTGTTTTAGTAATATTGATATTCACACATTTTTGTCTTTCTATATTTGTCTGTTGTTTCTCTTGATGCTTGATCCATTTAGCTCTTTCAATGTACATTTTACAGTTTTCCCACGTTTTATATCAGAACTCCTTGACTTCCTGGATATTAGGTGGGTCATTTATCTCTATTTTATTTTTTCTCAGTCCTCGATATAGTTAATTGGCATCTTCTTTGAATATCTTGTTTTGCCAGAAGAATTTGTATATTTTTTCATAACACCTGATTCTCCGTACCTTCGCTTGAATTTGTTGTTTCAGCTTCTCTTTAATGTTTGGTGCGCCAGTCTTATTCAGCATATCAAGGCTTCGTTTCAGTTGTCTTATTTTTCTTTCTTTCATTTGGATGCCTTGTCTACTTCATTTAGAAGTGACAATTGTCCTCATAGTTTATTTATTTCGGTTTCTATTTTTTTTTCTTTCCAGACTGTCATTTTTCTTGTATTTTTTTATTTTTTCACCTATTGTTTCCGTGATCGTTGTCCAGGCCGCGTATATAAGATGATTAATTTTGTCAGGTTCATCGGTCTTTCCATTTCGTCTCTTATTTTTCTAATTGCTTGGTTAGAGAGGATGGTGGTTTCTTTCTTACTTTTGGAATTGTTGGCCTTTCCTCGAAAGACATTTCCTTTACATTCTCCCATTTATATCAGATGTTTTTTGTCATCGCGATTTCTCTCGCATATTCGTCATTATCTTCCCC